ACCCATTGAATCCCACATAGCCATGAACCGATACATAGGCTCGCGTATACAGAAAACGCATCTGAGTGTATCTAAACGGAAAAATAGCTCTATGTATGCGAATAAAAAAAAAATAGAAAACTCCCGATTGTGTCGCGCAGCAATAATGTACATCCGAGAAATCGAGGGTAATAATCGATTTAATAGTTTTATTACCTCAGTAACAATAGAACGTAAAAAGGTCGCATTCTTCATGGAAAAATTTACACAAATCTTCAATTGATGAATATTAAAATAAATTAAGTATATATGAATAAATTTCCAATGAGTTTGATATTTGTATATTTAAATGTGAACAGATCATATTTGCCCGTTTCATTTTTATCGGAAACGAGATGTGGATTGTTTATATAAAACTGCAATTTTATAATTTCCATAATTCATTTATTAATTAAGAATAAATTCAAACTGATACGTTGTCAACTTTTTCAATTCACGATGCATTATATAATGAGTCAAAGTCGAAGTATGTCATTAGGTACACACCGCGCTTTAGCGTAGATTTTGTATGTCGCTACGACATACAAAAGTAAACAGTAAAATAACTAAAGTTTTAGTTTTTATTTTATTATTTTGGAAGTGATTTTATTGTAATGATAATGTCGCTTTAGTTAAAACGAGAGTAAACACAATATAATTGAGATATAATTTTCACAATTTAAAAAAAATACTTTTTACTTGTTACTCTTACTCGCTTTTTTACTTCTAAATTTTTTCGTTTCTTCTTTAAAATTTTCACGACTCACTTGAGAAGATTATAGCATGCACGTTAATGTGCCGCGGCATACTAATTAAAAAACCTTGAAATAGATCATATCTTCTCGTTTAATTTTTATTAAACCGAAAACAGATGAGGATTGTTTATATAAAACTGCAATCACGCTGTTATGCTTATCTTCAAACAGTTGCATCTTGCAATTAATAAGACTTGCAACTAGACTTGCTTCATAATATTTTCCACAATTTGTTTATAAATTAAGTGCATAAATTCATTCAATCTATTGTATACGTTTTACGCGTACGCATAAAATAAACTACGGTCTACTTAATACTACAAATGCTTCGATGCATTTTTTGATTGATCAATGAGTAAAATTCTTTCTTTCGATTTGTCAATCAAATGTTTCGAAACATTGGTAGTGCCAAGCGGATCACACCCTATAACCCTACATCTTCTTGTTAAATTTTTATCGAAAAATAAACGCGGATTATTAGAAAACTGCAATTACGCTGTTACACTACTTATCTTTGAACAGTTGCATCTGAGAGCTGCAATTGGACTTAATGCTTCATTTCATAGCTTCTGCAACTCGTTTATCTGATCGCAAGAACAAGCATCTGTCAAAAATGCTAGATTTTGAGTTACGAGTACTTGCCTCTCAAAGCTATCCGGCGATCGACCGACCAGCCGGTCGACGGGATGAAATATGATAGTCGTTGCCCGTGCCACGCCCAGTTTATCATATTTCTTGAAGTGCATTATCATAATAGCATCGTGCATGGGATCGGTCGGCCGCCGCGTCGTCGTTCCGTCGATGACACACCACGTCCTAACTCGCGCAGAGATCGATGCAACCAGCGCGTCGGGTTGCTTTGCGTCGCGACGCCATTCCGGCAGGGAACTTAAAAGCAAACGTCTATATATTTAACCTTTATGATAAGAACTTTTTAAAGGCGGGAGAGTGCTTTTTGTCAGAGCGATGCGAGTTCTTACTTGGGTAACTAAAACACACATTACCTATAATAACGCGCATCATCAGGCTCGAATGGCAGCGATAATGATTGTCATATTTGAATAGCAATTGCGTCTGTCATGTGCATAGATGTAATTTAAAAAAATTCATTTTTCTCTCTCTTCCGTTCTTATTTTGTAAAATAAAATAAATCTGTTAGAAATTTAATTTAATTTCAAAAATAATAAAAATAACTGTAAAAATTTTCTATTCAAAGAGGTACAAAGGGATATTGAAGAGAATAATTCTCAAATAGAAAAATGGCAAAATATGACTTGGCTTGTTGTATGCCTATTATACTACTGAATTAACATTACAAATTGCTCAAAACTGTTATAAATTTAAATATAACCTTTTCTATATACATATATATATGCAGAAAATAATTACAGAATATCATTTGCCCTCTTTTTGTAAAATGTAGGATATTATCTGAAACAATTATCTAGCATATTATGTAAAGTATATATTGTATGAATACTAAGATCATGCTACAGCTTTGATTACAATATTATGTCACGTTATAAAACCTCACCGATACGTATGCACATACTAATGGTTATAGTATTTAAGGTTTTTTTTTTACATAATTATAGTATGTTGATTGTGTAAAATGTTTTTATCGCTTCCGCATTTACCTCTTATGAAGTTATAAAAAATATTTAATCTTAATTAAGAACTATTTACGGAAACTTTTACAATAGTATTTGATTCAAATATAATAATATAGAGTGTGTGTGTGTGTGTGTGTGTGTGTGTGTGTGTTTAAAATAAGATATAGTTTAATCTGCCAACAATAATGACTTTACTCAAATAAAAAATAAGTAAGAGAAGTTTAATATACTAAAAATTTCTAATGGTTGCATTAATATTTATATGCATTATGTTCTTATATTGCATATGTTATATTATACACACAATTCACATACGACTTTTATATTTTAATATATACACGTATACAATACTTCTTCAGTTTTTAAAATATTATTTACAATTATTGGAATATAATTATAATTATTTTACGTATTTGTGTCACACACGCACACGCACGCGCACTTCTCTCTTCTTCTCTCCACGTGTTTCTCTTTTGTATTTAATATAATTTGTTTTTAACATATTGTTAGCTATTCTATTTAGATAAAAATTGGATTTTTCTGTACAAACACTTAATTTTCTTTTATAACACATCATTAGCAAAAACAAGGAATATAGAGTCACATGCGAAATCATCGTAAGAATTAAGTATACTCACCCAGCATGTCAAATGAGTTTACAATGATAAAAGACCAACTAGGGAAAGATATGTCTCTTTCCGATACAGAGCGCGTTGGTATAAAAAAGATACACGAGGGCGATATAGACAGTCAGGTGGAGATTCAATTAATTTTTCTTTTTGTCTCGTAAATCTTCGTAGACGTAGCATCTTCGTTCACGCGAATCACTCTCTCGATTTTTTTATTGAAACTCTCGCAGACGCGTGTTCCTTAAAACCTGCTACTTAAAACTTCCTTTTTTCCTTTCGAAAGCTTATATATAAAGCTGTTCTGAAGGCTTATATAATTATATATTAGATATAATAAACGATCACACTTGTGTGCAACTCGATTCTAAATCAACTTTTTTAAAACAGTATGAATATTAAATGCAGGAATATACTTTAATAATATTAAATATAAATATACCGAAACTAATTAAATAATGTTGAAGAACGTCAAAGTTAATCATATTTCTTCGATTAAATTAAAATGTTAAATCATTCCGTACAATTCTCGTATAATTATTCCGTATCTTAGATCAATTTTAGAAATTGTGATTATTGATTTTTTCTTTATGCTAAAATAATGAGAATCATTCTGATTAAATATAGGCTAGACCGGGGTTAGTAGACTCATTTTTCAGTTTTGAATTTTTACAGAAGGAATTAAGAGACTTATAAAAAAAATGAATTCTATACCAGTTACTACATACATTTGACTGTCTAATAATATTTTAATAGTAAGGGGAAACTGATAACTAACATGAAAAAAATGCATTTTTCTAATGCATTCCATCTGATTCAACTAGCCCCAGGACCGGGGTAAGGTGATTAATGATATGGGGTAATTTGACTAATTGTAAGATTATTAAAATGAAGATTAATGTATTTTAAGCTACATCTTTGGCTACATATTAATAAAACTTGTATAAAAATATATTTTTATAATAATATAAACACAAACATTCTCTTCACAGGGTAGATGCTTCTTTTTGCTAAATTCGTCCGTTTCGTGCAAAAACATGTTGAATAAGCCTGGTTTTATCGACATTAGACGTGAGGGAATTAAACTTATATAACATTTACCACTGAAATCTCTTTAAATGAATAAAATATTGAGTAAATACTATAAGAATCGTCACTAAATGAGTCATACAGCCCCATGCTGTGGTTAGCTTACTATCTCCACCTGTTCATTTTTTAAAAACATTAACCGTATACGATAACAAAGACAAATAAACAAAAAAAATCTGTTGGATTTTATTAAGTAAGAACTACGCTTACTATCTAAATGGAAATAAAATATCTCAGACAATTATATACGATTGTAAAACAAAAACTTTAAGAATAAAAATGTTTACTTAGGTGTACGATTTTTTTAAATTGTAGCGTAACTTCTATCATAGATGTGTTAGCAACGAGATGTTACAGCAGACTGAGTGGCTGTCGTTGCTGCGTGCTCAGACAAGTTTATGTTCATGCGTGTCTCGCGTGTTTTGTTTTTAATGTAGCCTCGATTATTCTACTTACTTCTATAGTCTACTGACTCCGGTCTCCCCTACTTAAATTAAATTTATGTCGCCTTAGGGTCATAGTACACAAAAAACTTAGTAGTAAAACGTTAGCAGTAAGCGAATTGGCCAATCACACCGTAGAGATGGCCATAATGTAAGTAGTAAATTCAACACTGATTTTCTTATTATTTACATTCTATATACTGCTAAGTTTTTCTGTATGCCATGGCCCTAAGACGATATAAATTTGATTTAAAACTTAATATTTAGTATATATTTAATAAGAATGTTTTTCATTATTTTAACATGAAGAGTAAATCAATGATCACAACTTCTGAAATTTATCTCAAGACATAGAATAATTATAGAATTATATGGAATAATTAAATTACATATAATGTTTATGAAACGACGATTTATCGAGCCCATTATTAATTTTGTATGTTTATCTGTTTTCAGCAAAATCGAATATGTTCATAAACATCGAGCCAAGAGAACAGACGGCCGTGCGAGTTGGAGAAACTCTACAAATTCTCTGCACCGCTCAACGAGAACAACTTCGTGTTTGCCGTGTAGAAATACCTGGCGAGGGTAGCATTGTGCTAACCGGGTCAGATCCCCCATCGGAAGATGGCAACATCGAATATTATGGAAATGGATTAAATAGTGGCGAATGCGGCGTCCGTATCGCTAAAGTGAAAGAAAGTTATCATGGTACCTTCAAATGTTCCTTGACGACCAAGAACGCTCGGCAAGAAGCAACTGCTTCTCTCAATATCGTCGTCGCGAGTGAGTTTTCATTTTCTATCTTAATTTGACGATATTCTAACTCGAACTTGTTAAATATAGACTTGACGTATCAGAATTTTAAAGAAAATATATTTTTAAGTTATATTTTTATTAAGAAGATATCTGTATGTTCTAAAACACAGTAAGAAGCTATAAACGATGTATTAAGATACGGAGGTAATCCTCAAACTTCTCTTAGTAACTTCTTTGAAGAAAATATCCATGAAAGCCTCAAAAAGCATTTAAAAATTATCAACGTCATTTCTAGAAATATCTGTATATGTAGGTATCTTTTTTCTATATGTACAGGGTGAATCAGAGTCATTGAATCAGCTTTTTAACGTATGAGAAAATTATTGATTGCACATCTAATTATTGACTTAGAGGTATAGATCAGATGTGTGGATATGCATCGTACAAATTGCTGATCCGAACGCGAAAAAGTATTTAATGCAAATCGGTGGAAAGAAGAAAATAGAGAACAGAATATTATAATTGGAAATAGAAGATTATACAAGTCTACATTGACGTTTTGTTTTATATAAATAATATTGAATCTTCTTAACTCTTCTCCAGCCACGGCATTTTTAAGTACTATTTCGATAGTGTTCAAAAATAAAGATCCCACACAGCACACTTTATCCTGAGGATATCCCATATCCGCGGGATCGCTTTGTCAATATGGGACAAAATAGTACTTAGAAATGTGTGTGCCGTGGCTGGAGAAGAGTTAAAAAGATTTAATATTTGTATAAAACAAAATGTCAATGTAGACTTGTATAATTTTCTATTTCCAATTAAATATATCATAATATTCTCTATTTTCTTCTTTTCACCCATTTTCATTAAATATTTTTTCGCGCTCGGATCTGCAATTCATACGATGCATATCCACGCATCCAATCTATACGGCTAAGTCAATAATTAGATGTGCAGTTAATAATTTTCTCATAGGATAAAAAGCTGGTTCAACGACTCTAATTCACCCTGTATATATACACATACGAATATTAGTTTTAAAATTTGTTTTTCTATTTTAAATATAAAAAACAGCACGTATAATCATTTTAATATATAATCGTTTATTATTTGATGTATAATCATTTTAATCACATCAAATATATTCGATCACTTTGATATTTAATCTGTACTTTGTGATATGTTGATTTAAAATTTTTATCTTAATTTTATTTTTATTTAATAGCAAATTTTTATTTAATTTTCAATCACACAGATATAGACAATTACTTTTATGTATTATATTACACATAAACTCAAAGATAATTAAAAATGAGTATAAACGGGGGATTGTGAAGTGTGCGAAGTAATAAATAAATAAGAGATAGGATACTTTTGACAAAGAGGTTACGATGAAAAGAGAAACATTAATTAGAGCAAGAAGCAAAAAATAAACGCTTGTTCCAGTCGCTAGAGCTGTATTCGAAAAGTAATTAATCTTCCTTAAGGAAATTGCTTACGGAGACTGAAATAAGTACCCGGAGTAAAATTACTGTTTAAGATGAACCCGATAAAGATAAATGGCGAGATTCGCGAATATCTTAGGAAAATCTTTTATGTTATTTTACAAAAAAAAAACATTACGGAAACAGTTAAATTTAAATTAGTATCTCCGCATCAGATTCGAATAATAAAAATGATAAGGTATATAATAAAGTGTATAGAAAATATCACCATTTATGTTATTTTCTAATTCGATCTGATCTCTGATCGATACATGGCGTGGCGAAATCTAAAGAAATTTTTACTTCTCTTAATTTCTCAGAACCACCCGAAACTGTTGAGATTTACACGAATTCGGGGAGTCTTGGCGGAAACAGATTTAGAAAAGGCGAAAAATTGGAAATTAGCTGCAATGCTAAATCTGGACGACCAGCAGCGAATTTGACTCTATTTCTCGGTTAGTATATTTAATATTCTAGAAGAAGTGTACTTTTTTTCCAACTTTCTGATTTTTCTTATAACAAAGATTTACATAAATCAAAATAAGAAAATGACTGAAAAATGTAATTATATAATGTATTATAGCTAATTATATAACAAAGATATTTCAATCATTTGGATAATGAGTCAACTTTTTTTCAAAAATAAACAATAAGAAAATTGAAAATTTGAAGGAGAATATAACAATATTGTAAATACAAGCAAATACTGAAATAGGTCATGTGCACTTATCTTTGAATGTATTAATTTTTGATAGAATAGATTAATAACAAATTAATATTCTCTCTATCCGTAATATACAATTATTATATTATATAAAATATAAAATATAAATGTATGAAATGCAATATAAATAATAGAAAAATGATATTACTCTTGTTTTGAACATTTAGATGAGGAGCCGATTGGCGAAGAAAAACCAAGCTCTTACGATACGAATACGAACACCGTAGCAATGCAGAACGCTTCGCGCAGTTTAGATTGGACAGATAACGGCAGAACGATAAGATGCATAGCCAATCACATTGCTCTCGATAGGCCCATAGAACAAACTAAGCCTCTCGAAGTATACTGTAAGTTACCATTTTTGTAATATAAACCAATTTCTTATTTATTGACATTAATTAGCTAACATTTTTTTTAATTATATTTTGTTTCATCTGTATTTTTATTCTGCTTTACCGTTCAGAGTTTGTAACTTTCTTTAATATGTTAATTTTTATATACTAGTAAAATTTATATATTATATTTATTTAATAATGCAATACTAATTTACTCGAATTAATCTTTACGTTAATGAATTTGAATTAAAATGTTTAATATTTTTTTACATAAAAAAATTATATTATAGATTCTATCGTTTATCTTTATCGTAAATTTTAAAAGAAAGCTATATCTATTTTTTTAGATCCACCTCAATCACAGCCGACTGTTGAACGTTTCGGATACGTAATTGGCAGACGAGGGATCATCAATGTTACCGTTCATGCGCATCCTAGGCCGCGATTTACATGGCGAGTGAACAACGAAAGAATTGAAGAAGGTCGTCCCGACGAGAGTAATCGACTGGAAACTTCAACCGCCGTCGATTTGGTAAGTTTTCTTTTTTAAATTTAAACGAGTCAATTCCTTGTCAAATATTTATAATTACACAGACTGGCTGATAAAATCTCATGATCTGGAATAAAGATGTTTTCCTTTTTCAATATTAAATGTCTCTCTATGATCTACAAAAATAAATTTTAATGAAAGAAAAAGAGAGACATTTATTAGAGAGATATTTTTTTTTAAACATCAAGAAAAGCACTTACTATTTTAAGTCATTTTCAAATCATTAATTCTTCGTTAAAAGAAATCTTGAAATTCTCTAAAAAAAATCGCTGTTATTGATCTCCATATTTTTCGGTTATCCTAAAACGATCGTCGCCATGACGTGACGTAACGAGGTTACGTATTAGTGCATTTGGCGATTTGATTTGGCGAAACGTTGAGCAGAACGCATCGGTGTCACCGATCGGTGATTCGTTTAGAGACTCGAGCCATTCTCTTTGGTGACAGATAAAATGTAGGAAGAAGAAACGCACGAGTCCAAGAAATAATTGGCGATGAAAGGGAAGAACAACCGGATTGGCGGAGGCAAATGAAACAGAAATCCAATATTGCGCTGCGACTCCGGCGGCGAGCCTCGATTTACCGATTCGCCCGATGCATTCTCCATGCACCTGTGTGACAGCGCGTGCGGAGTGCAGCGTTGTAATGAAATTCCATTGAATTCAGACACGGGAGGATGCGAATCGATCGAGCATCCGCGCGATCGCACGCGAAAGGTCCTCGAGCCTCGGAGGCGTTTGTTCTCCACCCATTGTTTCGTTAGCAAGAGGCGGTTTGTTCATCCCGTAGTTACGGTTTAAATGGATTTGCCGATCTTGCAACTTGCGCTTTTTAATTAGTTCGGGACGAACGGAAGTAGGACGTTCGTCGCTTCTGAATGCACCGGCTACGTTCTTGTTCCTCTGAATCTATTTATTAAATCAGTTCGAGAGAGAAAAAAGGGATAGAAATCGAAAAAAAAAAAACTTAAACATTCAACGTTACTGAGAACTCCAACTTCAAACGTTCTTTAGATGCCATTTAGGATTATATTTGTTCTTAAGGAAGAAATCTATGTTGCAAAGAATGCAAATAGTCAAAACACATTTCAATCTCCTTTTTTTCTCTCGTTATTTCATTTTTTTTCTTCGGTCTAATACTTATGTAAAATCGGGAATTTTATCGCCGGGCGCCAGCTGTTCGGTACATCACGAAGGAAGGTCGCGGAAAGCCGGCGAACTTCCGGACAAATAGGCGAGCACACGAACTCTCGGGTGCACGAGAAGGAGGGTCGGAACGTTAATCGAGCGGCACGCGCGGCTAGCCGGCCGAGTGCATTCAATGACGCGGGTTATTCCCTGGTCGAGGGTGAGAGATCTCAATGGCGTCCGATGATTTCGTTGGGAACTCGCGATTCGGGTTCAAACTTTCGGGGCGAACGGCACACTTGCGCGAGCGTAACGTTCTAGACAACGGCAGCGTGTGCCAGAACCAATAAAAGCCTCCACCGCTGCCGTCGGCAACCGGCGCTATTCGACAACCCGGCTTCGGCTAGGTATATGAATGGCTTTCGAATAGGCTTTGCGCAGCCCTCACAAGTCTGCAAGCAACTTACAGCGGATTACTGACCGAGCGCCGCGATGTACCGCGCCATCGACGAATACGAATCAGCTTCCACTCTGAAAACGCAATTACTAACAGTGAGTCGGACGAGAGGAACGAGAGCTTGGAAAAGCTCGGCATACCGCTTTCGTTCCTATAATAACACCCGAGAACAATGCTCGATGCGATATCGAGATCCGCCAAATGGATTTTTCCGATTAGAAAACTACAGAAATAAAATTTAATAAAAATTGATAGAATTTAAAAAAAAAGGAAATATTTTTATTATCGTAAAAAATAGTAGAGATGAAAAATGCAAATAGAAATTAAATTCATTTAATTTGAGAAAAATAAAGTTTATATCGAATATTTATTCGATTATGAAGTTATATATATAAGAATAAATTTTTTTTTAAATTAAATAATACACAGGATGATATATATAAAGAGTTTTGCCTACAAAGTTTTGTGTTTACCAAATTATTAGTAACATATATTGACAATGAATAAACTCTAGAATGGTACTTACATATATCTCATTAAATACCAGAATAATAATTAACATTCGAAATGGCAATCTTTAGCTTTGATATAAACTTTAAAGTGCTTTGGAAAAGCATTAATGGTTGCGCAGCTTTCTATGGATAATTATAGTAGATAATTCTCTCAAACAGTCAATAGAACGGTCTTTCAATTCACTAACTAATGAAAATCGTTGGTGCAGTCTTTTTGGTATTTAATAGGATGTAACTAACACTAGTTTGTTTTTTTAATTAAATTATTACCTAGAAGATATTATTACCTAGGTAACGGACTGATGTTAAAATACTAACGAATAACAGCTTGCAGCCTGGATAATCATTTGATAATCACATAAAACATTGTAGTCAAACTTTTTTCTCACCTTGTACGTATAATGTGTGTGTATAATATATATATATGTATATATATTTATTTATATATGTGCATACTTATATACATGTATACTTATATGTATGTTACAGTTAAAGTAACTTAATTTTAGTAAATATATACATTGACGACAGCAGACTAGTAAGTATACATTTACTGAGTTACACTTTGACTGTGATGTATATATAAAGAATTTATACATCCTTTTTTTCTTTGTTTCTCTCTCCCTGTAACGAGCGCTATAATTATCAATTTACCTCTTTTTAATATATGGATTACAAAGATTGCGCAAGAACTCGTAGATTAATGGTAAAAGCTCCCGAATAATTTATAGTGGACGTACCTTCGTGTTCGCGCACGGCGACACTTTAAAGGGCTTAATTAAAGGATGTAATTAATGAGCGATGGCGCGTGCAAAATTAAGAGCGCGGCGGAACGGGATCTGATTGATGTACATGTGTCCGTAACACGAAGCAACATTTTACAGGGGAATGGAGCATGGAGCGTAATTCTGATGATCGACAGCGTTCAGAAATCCGACACGGAAAAGGAATATATGTTGATGGCGACCAACAATGAGGGATCGAATGAATATCGTATCATTTTGTCGACATCCCCAGAACCGGCGGGTAAGTTATTCGACAAATCCGATTTACGTGAGTTCTTTTCCATTGAAAGCGTCACACAGTGCACCTAAAAATACGAATCTTGTATACATATCGAAAATAATCGGTGCACCATGAAAATATTATGATAACTGGCAGCACAAGAATGTATGACATTTCTAACAATTTAATTAATCGATCAATTGAAGAAAATAATTTTATGACTCTTGTAACATATTTTGAATTATTCGGCAATCAGAGAGATTGTTTCAAATATGAAGATTTTTCTATAGAAATATTCACTACTTCGTATTTGAAATAATCTTTCTATAGAAAATGTATTAAAAATTTTTATCCATCTTATAGTAACAATTTATAAAATTAATCCTGATAATTATATTATCAATTAAATTTCTTCAAAGTGGAATGTACTTAAAAATTAAATTTTTTTTTTGAGAGATCTAACTCTATTACTTATTTATATTTTTAAAATAGAACCCGTCAAGAATTTTTTAAATGATTTAATCTTGATTTTTGGAAATATTAACTCACTTGACATGATTACGAGATATTTTTGAAATATGTATCTCGCTCAAATTGAATTATTATATTTACGGATCTCAATATACATATAATAGTGAACGGACGATAGGTAACACGCGAGCAATTAATAAACCACCACACGCTTTGTTCACATTTTTTTTTGATTGCCTGAATCAACCGGTATTCACACTTGGCTGTCCACTGATCACCCACTACTACATCACGATCATAATCATGCCACCGCGATCTCGCACGTAAAATTGCGGCTGTCGATCGTCGTAATTGCCACGAGATGATCACCCACCGATCATCACACATACATACACACGTGCCTTTGAAAATATTTTCCGTTTTATGTTTATGTGCGTGTCTAACCATATCGATCCTTCACCGCATGCTCACGCAGGACCGCTCAGTAACCTCTATGGTAAGCTCTCCGAACACATGCACGCACTAGGTAATGTCATTTTTTCAAATTACTATACGTAAGTAGTCTGTGTAATGTAAATGCGCACGGCGTTCCGTGTACAGCGGTTTGATTAGGTGAAGATCGCGCGGGGATGATCACACCGGGAAATTAATAACCGCTATTTGGTTAAGGGTGTAATATACGTCGATCACGAGAGATACACGTTGACATTGATCGAGCGACGAGTAATTTACTAATTTCAATGCACATCCACGAGTCTTGATTTCGTCAACGTGGATCAGATCGGATCGCACGAAACGCTGTGTGATGAAATATGAGTATATGTCGCACTAGAATGGTTATTTCAACACAAAATTATACAAGATGTTTTACAACTTGATTTTAATAACAGATTGTCGAATTAGTATTAAGTATTTTTCTTAGCAAAAGTATCGAGAACGATTAACATTTTTATAAATTTCTAATTTAATATCTATAAAAATTTCACGGAAAAATAAAATTTACTTAAGTTAATTAAAAATGTGATTTTGTTGAAGATATTGAAAAATTATTGATATTTTGAATAATGAAATATTGATGAAAAATATATTAGAGCCAATTAAAATTGCGAAGAGATTTTATATAATGATATAATTATTGCCAAATATTTAATAAATATTTGCGTAAAATATCATCAATATATGTATATTATATACCTATAATATATTAGTACCTTGGAAACGAAAATATTGAAGAACTTTAAGAAAAGAGAGAGAAAATAAAAAATAAAAAATTTTTGTTTATATTGAATTGTAAAAAATAGTTTGTAGTAATTATATATATAAATGAATATAAACTTAATTATTTATTCTTTTATTCAATTATTTTAATTGAAAAAATCTCAAAATAAAAAATTTTTTTTAATACTAAAAAAGGCTCTATAAATAATTTATAAAATACTTGTTAGCATTTTACTACTTACGTATAGTTTGATTTATCATAGACATTCTATTATTGCAAATAAAAGTTATTAATTTTAACGCTTCAAAATTTCGATCTCAAATATTTCATATGCGACATTCTCATTCTTTTACTTTCGTACCAGAAGATTCTATCATTGCTTTCCAAGGCATTGATATATCACCAAATGTCACACAAGTATAAAGAACTATGATAACAAGAGGCATTTTTTTCTGCGATTTGCAGGCGTTGATTTGGACGCTGGATCCATCATTGGTATCGTCGTGGGCGTTCTGATGCTCTTACTCGTTATTTTCCTTGTAATCTTTGCACGCGCGACTGGCCGCTGGTGTTTCGCAGGTGAGTCAATTTAAAAATGTAGATACTCGGTAAAAGAAGACCCTATTTAGATTATATATGCTACATATTATTATGCTACATATATATGTATATATATATCAGTCTTACCATTTTTCTTTCGTACTCCCTAACGATTTGGTTTCGCGAGAACGGTCGGGGAACGCAAACACCATAGAGCAGGAAATATCGTAAAATTTGAGTAAGAGACGTCGTTTACGCAGAACGAGAAACTTCTTGGAATAAACGTGACCTCATTAAAGTTATCGGAATTGTATACAGCAAATTAAACGAAAAATGAGAGTCGGCAAAAAAATGAGTCGCACAACTGAGAAAAAGTGAATTTTTTTGATAGCAAAAATACGTAGTTTACTTCGTTTATATTTCTTTTATATCTCTCCTGTTCTCAGAATTTTGACTAAATTCATAAAATTTTCATAATCATTAAAAGTAACTCCAAATTATAGAAATCAATAAGATAAATTTAATATTAGACGAAAAAAAACTCATTGCACTGAACGATTTTGCTGAAATATTTAAAAATTTAGCTAGATACAAATCGGAAAATAACTTTGTTGGACATTGAAATAATTATGCAAAAGATTCAAGCGTGATGGGCAATGCTATAAAAAGCGTTTTGACATTCTAATTACTATCTTGAGCGTATTCTACATAATTGTTTTGATTGTCCAACAAAAGTATTTTCAAATCTGTATCTAACTAAATTTTTTTTAGATACTTCCGCGCAAAATGATTCTTTCTGTATCAGTATGTCAAGATTTATTACAATACAGAGAGAAAGAAAATTCAAATAAGTAGAGAACAAGCCGTGGAAGTTATTGTTATTTACCATTTGCACTTATTCATGACAGTTATAGCTTTGTGTTAATTTAGTTAATGTTAATTTAGTTTTTATTTAAACAAATTGACTGCGCTATGACATCTATTCGACGTGTAGTAAACGAAAATAGAAGCTTGTCTTCATTTGCCTCGCGAACGTACATAATTCGAGGAAATTTCTAAAGCTTCACGTACGATATTCGTTAGTATTATAGATATAGTATAAATGACGAAGGTAAATTTCCTCGATATTCAAGAATCTAGAGAAAATATGATCGGTATAATATGAAATAATATGAAATTGAAATAATATTGCTCGAAGTAAAAGTTGAAATGCGATGAAACAACTTATGTATCACTCTTCACTTTCTTGTTGTGATTGTTGTCGCTGTTGTTGTTACTTTATTACCACATAGTTCATTACTATTGTTTCCGTTAACGTTGCGCTACGATCGCGTGGATCGCAATGTCTGCAGTATGCGATTAGTCTAAACGCGAAGTAATTATCACAGCGGTATCACAGTATGCGCGTGCAGTAGAAACGTATATACTGGGTTTAATTAGTATGCTCCGAAGCAACTGCAACGCTGTTCACCGTATATACCTTAATATATATATTATATAAGTACGTATATCTAATATACATACAATAAGAGTATATTTTTATATCTGAACGTATACAAATGTCTTATGTGTTGTGCCGCTACGCCGATATAGGACAGCATGCGAGTCGGGCCAAGTAAAGAATACGGAGATACGTCAACGATTACCTTGCGATTCCGTACTCTAGGCATGACACTGTCCAGGGGTAAGTCACCTCAGGCAGGCCGAAACAACCTTCTTTCTCCCCTGACAACCTACCACCCCCCCATTTCTCTAAAACAATGCTCGTTCTCGTTCATCATCGACCCGTCCGCTCGCTCGTCACCTCTTTTTCTTCGCGATCATTTTTATCAGCCTCATGACATCCTCTCTCGTTCTCTTCGCGCCATCACCTTCAGCGCCGGCTTATCGACGACCGCGACCCCGTCTACTCGTTTGAGTGGTAGACCCTCCCCTTCAAATTTAATACACTTTTCGCTTCTGCTCTCCTCGCGCTTCTCATCTTGCAAGACCTCCCTGACGTGTTCTCAAATTTTTACGCCGCACTATCATTTTTATTTGTGACACGTGTCGATACCGAACCGTTTTATCGATTTATAGCTTGCGTTTTATATCGCCGATAAATATCGTTTCCTCCGATTAATCGATCGCGTTTCCGCCGCATTCTCGCTTTCGTTGGTCAAGTTGGAGGCTGTAACGCGCACGATTTTTGCTCGTTTCTTCTCTCCTCCGCGTTGTTTTATGGCTACTTTTCGCATGGAATCGCAAACTACTATCTTGCCTGTATTTATGAAGAGGAGACTTAGAAAGATCTGCGCAAAATATGATACCCAGTAAGCCAGGGAAAAAAAGGAATATTTTTCACGAAGCATGAAAGACATTTTCGTAATGGAGAAAGATTAAAGCCACTTTAGCGCGCTTGGCAGTTTTAAGAATTCACTTTCTTTAACGAGAAATGTTCTATACTTCCTCTCACAATATTGCGTGGTCTAATTTACAGCCCATAATCGAAATAATATCAATGTATCACGCGTATCGCGAGGATTCCAGTAGAAACCGTGGAGTTTAATGGCGAAACTTTTATGACCAACACTATTTCGGGCAATTAAAAACGCACGTTAAAAAAATCGCTCTCCCGATATTTCACCCCTACTTAATTATTCCATAGGAATGTTTTTAAATATTCCGATAAGCCCTGGTCTGCAGAGTAAATTTAACATTCGAATTCACGATCTGACGGTCGCTCCATTTTCCGTTGCGTGTTACTAAACGAAGCGGTAAATACAAAGCATAGAGTCAATTGAAACGCATGATTAAAGTTAGGAATAATAGTCAGTTTATTTTTTTTTAATCTGATTTTTGCGTTAATTATGTAATTATATTCAATGAATTATACATTTTCGTTTTTTTACGTATTGTTTACCGCACTGACTTTCAATTGCCTTTATTTTAGTTAATACATTGTTTTTATCTCTCAATATCTACCATAATTGTTTTTATTTTAGTTATTTTATTTAATTTTTTTTAATGTGAAGAAGACATTTACTAATTAATTCTTATATTATTTCTGAAATAATTGAAGTATACGTATAAAATTATAATACTTATATATTTTTATATACGTTATTAAGTCATATTTTCATTTTTTGTACAGTACAACCCAGCAATCTTTGGCTATGACTTCCGTCATCGATATCAAATCGATAGCTATTATTCCTTATCCGAATCGCATTTGATACACGGTCACGTTATCGAATTTCATCTGCATGTTAATAGTATTTGCTTCATAGTTATTTAACGATAATTTAAGCATACTTATTGCAACATGTTTACGATTATCTTGTACGTCTCTCATGCGAGTCTTATAGCCTGTTTACACTACGTAATTTAATTTCTTAGCATGTCATTTGTAATATCATCACGGTATCGGCTTATAATCGTTCTTCGCTTACATTGCAAAAGTACTGTATTATGAAATTGGTAATAATAATAAATACGTATTATTATTTATTTCTGCACATATGGATACCGCTGCAAAATCTGTGACAAGGATTACGATACAAAGCTGCGATACCGTTAGAAAATCAAGTGGTGCGAATACGCTGTAAGCCATTGAACGAGAACATAGCGTTTCTTTTCTTTTCTTTCTCGCAACAAGCAACGATAAGCAATCGGCAAAGGCAAGTGTGGTGAAATTGTTCCCGAGCAGAAACGACCGGTCCAATACCAATTACCTTCCACGTGCCTTCTGACACTGCTCGTCGCCGTTTTAGCGTCTTTTTGGTTACAATTGAAACTGCGATCTTTCCTTCTTTCATCCCTTCAGATTCTGATCGTACAAGCATGTTTGTCACCTCAGAAACCCCTCACTGTTTTTCTATATCTCCCTCGTGCGCAGATTGCGTGTGTATCCTTTGCTATATTTGCCAATTAGCGTCGAGAGATGCAACGACGTGCTTTCAATTATTCGGATTTATCTTGCTTGAATCGATATTTATATGTTAGTGGGATTGCCTGTGAATGTTACAATACATTTTTTTCACAATCGTTAATTCGTACTTTTTATATATATTTATGTAACGCACGAGCGATGCAAATTGAATGTCTTATCTCAGTAGTTATAGATAATATATCTAGATACAGTAATGCCTTTTTATATCGGGCATCATAACATTTACACTGTACACAATTGATACACTTTGAAAATATGCATTATGAGTAATGCAGCACGATGTAATGTGCTTCGGACAATTTGCATTAGGAATTGTTACATTAATCGCATAATGAATATTAAAAACTTCCGCGTTAAACACGCATTAAATACTTAACTCCATAGAAAAGTACAAAAAGAACACATGATACATTTTAATAATCGAGTTTACAAATCAAGAAATCAATTTAAAATTTCGATTCACGCGAATGAACGTTAAAGATTATTTCGTTAGAACGTTAAAGAATGTTTCGAGCTTTCCATCTTGCAGTCTCGCGAGTAGTATCACTGACCGAGATATTTTATGGCGAGATATAAATTATGTTTCGCAAGAACAAAATATTCGCTTAGCTACGAGGTGTACAAGAAGACGTCGCGCGACAGATAGACATCCGGGCAATATTGATTCGTTGACAAGATAAACGGCGCTCGATAGTCGACGCGAACGGCGATATCGCATTCGCAAAGCGTTCACAAAGAAAAACGGTGAAAAAAGCGGGAGAAAAAGAGAGAAAGATAGAATACCCACACACGCACATTTGCCTTGACCGATCGTGGCGTTGCTTGTTGCAGCGAGGCGTCGCGGCGACGAGGAGACTACGGGTGACGTCGGCGCCGGAAGCGAGGCGCACATCACGCCCGGTGATGAGGACGAGGATCAGGAGGACCCGCGTATCATCGACGAGAAGGTGCCGCAGGGTGGCCAAGAGAATCCAATACACACGAGCACCGAATACGTGAACGGCCGTACGGACGTCAAAGACACCAAGAAGGATGAGAAGACGGACACGCCCGTCTAAGAGAGAGATTTAAAAAAAAGAAAAAAAGATAAGAGAAGGGACGCATTCCT